GGGAGGGGAGGGGAGGGGCACAGACACAGAAACACACAATCACTCACTCCAATTTCCTAAGCTTTCCCCGTTAACTTAGTAAGAACAGTTCCATAAACAGAGTTCAGGATACTTTTTCAGCTTTTTTCAGAGAGAAAATAGTTACTCAAGTCCAAGTGAATTTCTAGATCTGCCTACATTTCACTTACAATAGGAAGTGCAAGGGACAGGAAACAGAAGGACTGCTCCATGTCACTCACTTTCTACATTTTTTGGTGGCAAAATGACCAATGTATAAATGGCAAGTGTTAAGACAAGAACATTTTTAACAAAAGAACAAGTACAAGTAAAAAAGCCAACAAATCTAAGAAATGAAATCCCTCAAGGCACACAGGAAGCAGCAGTCCACAGTGAAGGAATGGATAAGTTAAATTAAAGCCAAAAATACACTTTGCTGCAGGCTCCACTGGGAACTGACTCATGAATATGCAACAAGTGTATTTATGGCCTTCTCTATACCCCTCCCTCTTATTCTCTGCTAATCCAAAAACAGGACTGCCTCACAGGGCCTTTGGGCCTTGGCGCAGAATAGTGGTTACAATGATTTCTCTGGTAGGTGGAATGAAGGGAAATTAAGAGGAGCTGCCCCATAGTGGTGAACTTGAACTTGGGTTAAAGGAAAGCAGTGAGCACACAATGAAGCAAGTTGTGGTCTGGGGTAACAGGAAATATAGGTTTTAAAAAAATGTATGTATGGACCTGACCCGTGTGGTTCAGTGGTTAAAGCATCGGCCCATGCACCGAAGGGTGGCGGGTGGTGCAACCGTCAAGGGCACGTGTCTGGGTTGCAAGTTTGATCCCCAGCCCCAGCTGAAGCATGTATGGGAGGCAACCAATCAATGTGTCTCTCTGACATCCATGTTTTTCTCCACCCCCACCTCCTTCTACTCCCTCTAAAAACAATGGAAAAAAATATCCTCAGGTGAGGATTAACAAACAAACAAACAAATAAATAAACAAATAAATGTATGTGTGTTATATACATAATAGCACAAAATACATGTGCACACACAATTTTTTTTATTGTGTGTATGTGTGCGCATATATATACAGATATATAATCTTTAAGTATTTCTTTTATAGCATTGAGCAGATTGCCATGCAGAACTTGAGGCAGGACAGTGCTTACCGGGATCTGCTGGATCTCTCCTGTGTTTGTGATGATCTGCTGCATCACTTGCATGGTCTGTCCAGTGCCACTCTGGGCCTGCTGGGCTTGACCCTGTGGCTGGGCCTGGACAATCTGCACCTGTTGACCTTCTCCAACCTGCATGGTCACTGGTGTGGTCTGGAAAGAAGAGTCATGAGAAAGTTGCTTGAGCTCTGGTTCAGTCAGTAGGCTTACCAAGGGGTTAACTAGGAGCAAACCTTTCCATGAATGCCTAAAGTCATCTCAACACTGATAATAATACTCAACCTACAGAGTCCGTTGGGTTTAGAGCACTGAGAAAGTTGCTCACCAAAACAAAAGATGAAAGTTAAACAGATTTTAAGGCTCACAGTACAACATATTTGCCTAGGCACAAAACATCTCTATGCTTCAAATGTTGCAACTTTCGCCCAGCTGGGCGTGGCTCAGCAGCTGAGCATCAACCTAGGATCCAGGAGATCAAGGTTTGATTCCTGGTCAGGGCACATGCCCAGGGCTGCAGGATCGATCCCCAGTCGGGCACATGCAGGGGGCAGCCAATCAATGACAACTCTCTCATCACTGATGTTTCTATCTCTCCCTCTCCCTCTCCCTTCCTCTCTCTGAAATCAATACATATTTTTTAAAAACCACAAAAAAACAAATGTTGTAACTTTTCACAGCCACTTGAATGATAGTAAGGCACATATGGTACAAAAGAATCAAAAGCAACCACAACAGTTCACTTGAGAAATGGCCAAGGTCAAGTCTGGAGCAGGTGAATTTGGAGGGTAAAGTAAATGCAAAGTGCGGTCAGTATGAATTTACTAAATTCAGGACCCTTAGGCTTGCAAGACATTGGAAGGAAAATAAAAGAACACAATGTTTTTCACCTCCATTCAAGCAGTAGAGTGACCCCAGCCCCCAGCAGCCAGCTGGCTGCTCTGGATCACAGCACAGCTGCCCAGGTAAACACACTGGGCAACGGACACTGAACACCTGGATCTCAATTGAGGCTACCCCTAAGTAACAGAATTTGATAAAGCAAGAATTTTAACTTTGTAGATTTAAGAAATTTCAGTCTAATGTGTCTGAGACTTGGCAGATTCTGTGTCTCTCACACATACTTAGTGTACTGTAGGCCTATGAAACTTATTCCTCTGAGCGACTGTAAGACTTGAACTGTCAAAAGGGTCAGTCAGTCATTTCTTCAAATCTCAAAACCGTAGCCCCATATGTGACCTTTATAACACATCTTGCTCATCTGGTCAGGTGGTAGGGGGTGGAGGGTGGTGGTGGTAAGGAGGGTGGAGCATTTTAAATCACAACTATATCCCCAAACCCCTGATTCGAATATGTTCTCTCCCACTTCAGTAAGAGGATCCTGGGAGTCTCAAGGAATCATGGCTTTAATCAACATGGCCATTCTGACACTCTTTACTTTCTGAATGCATAAGTCTGTTATGCATCTAAAATTACATGAGAAGGGGATGTGTCCTGGGAACTACATATGAGATTCAAGGAATTACAAGGTAAGGAGAAATTACTGTAAAATGGAGAAGGGTGGGGAAGAAAGATGGCAGAAGGACCTATATAAAAACGCGTACAGTGGGCTAGGACAACAGGAAACATCTCCTGTTCTCACACCACAATTTTCAACTCAGCCTATTCTCCAAGCCTCCAGGAACAAAAGTTTCCAATTTTATGACAAAAATATAGGCTTTACTTTACCAAAATATACTTTCCTTTCAACTTTAGTATGTATTCTGTTCTGCAAATGTTACCTGCACTCAACTTGAAACAGCCATTACTACAGAGGTCCAGGGATGTGACGCACAGCACAAGGTCACCCTGAACCAGGAAGACAGTGAAACAACAGCTGAAAGATGCTAGAAGGGACCAACTTCACCATCTCCACAAGCCTTCAGCTCCAAGCTGAGCAAGTTTGGGGTGGCAGAGGATACATGAAACTCTCGCTGACTAAAAAAAAGTACATACTGCCAACTCATCACTGTACTCTAGCAACTCAATTTTCCTGACAGGATTTCCAAAGTACTTCTATATCATTTCAGTAAAATGAGGGCTTGTGTTAGCATAGCAGCTGTCAAATCATGTATGGTGTGCCCTGCTGTTGGGGCACAACAGCCATGAGCCTCTTGGGATGATCAGCCAATCAGAGCATGCCTTTAGCAGACTCCCTTGAAGTTCGCTCTATAAAGGGATAAAGCCTTTGGCAGGTAGAGCTCTCACCACTGCAGATGCACAAGCTAGAGCCAAAGAAGGTCCCTTAGGCATCACAGTGCAGTGAACTCCTAAGGCAGGGACTGGGCTGCACTAATCTTTGAACCCCTCCTGCCTAGCACAATGTCAGGCAAAGACAAAGCACTCAATAAATTTCTGTTACATGGATAAAAAATGAGCAGGGAATATCCTAAAATCACAATTATATCTAAATCTACCACCACCCCAACTTTTTTTCTTCTAGGCAAACCCAGCTCACTAGAACACACAAGGCTGTCTAGGGTGCGTCCTCCACCTATCTTTTCAGACTTGCCTACTTGTTCCCTGAGCTGCACCCTTTCACCACTGCCTTGTGCTATTTCTTACCTCTAAGACTTTGCTTGTGCTGAGCCACCTAGTGGGAAAGCCCTCCTTCCCCATTCTGATTCATGTCCTTTATTCCCTCTAAATTCATATCATTCCTTTAAAGGAACCTCCTCCGACATCCTCTTCTACCACCCCTCTCCATCTTTATTAGGTGCCCCTTTTGATGTACTCCCGTAACACCCTCTGCACATCCTAAGAACATCTTACCCTTCCCACATGGTGGTATAATCTCCAAGTATTTGTAGCCCCAACTAGATTGTGAATTCTTAAAAATAGGGACTGTTTGACTCATGCTTGTGTTCCCAACACACAGCATAGGACTTCACCTATGGAGGATGACCAATGTTTGATGAAAAAATAAACTAATGACTGACAGGGAATTTGGATTCAGAGCTCAGAAGAGTTCTCTGCAGCTTCTCATGATTCCCAACAAACGTAGATATTACAGCTCTCACAACAACTGTATTGGGGAGAGAATCTTCTGATTACTATTGTAAGAAGAGAAGGTCACCTGCCCAGCCGGCATGGCACAGGGGAAGCATCGACCCATGATCCAGGAGACTGCAGCTTGATTCCCAGTCAGGGAACATGCCCAAGCTTTGGGCTCGATCCCCAGTGGAGGGGCGTGCAGGAGGCAGCCAATCAATGACTCATTATTGATGTTTCTCTCTCTCCTCCCTTCCTCTCTCTGAAATCAATAAAGACATGTTTTTTAAAAAAAGGACAGTCAGTTGATACAAATATAGTAGAACAGAGAAATAATGGGGAGGAGGAGAGGAGAGGTATGCATGCCTGATCTCCCCTCAAGGATACAAATGCCAATTCTGGTGTACACACACAGACAGCAGGAACGGAGTCCACTTAAGAGACGCCACCACTCTTCATGGGGACATGATAGTTTTTCCTTCTAAAACTTTTTAGCTCATAAGGATCCTGAAGAACATCTTGTCCACTATACTTTCCTCATTTGACCCATGAGGAAACCAGAGCCAGAGAAATTAGGGTGACATGTCACCTCAGTGGCTGAATCTGAGGGGGGAGCCCAGGTTTCCAGACTTCAAATTCAGTGCTCTATGATGATCGGAGTGCCTCTCTGCCCTGGTCAAGCTTTCATCATCCCAAACCTAAGAAGTATTATCTTGCTGGGCAGGCACCCTCTGCAGCTCACAGACCTGGCCCTGCTGAGGCTGTGCAATGATGATCTGCCCGGGCTGGATGGTGGTTGTGGAGCTGGTGGTCTGCTGGCCTTGCTGCTGCCCCTGGACTTGGACGGCGGTGGGCTGCTGAGCCAGCGTGAAGTAGTACTGGACAGGCTCGGCAGGAGTCACAGACTGGCGCACCTCCTCCTGTGGGGTAGAAGTAAAGGCAGGTAAGAGAGAAAGAACCGACTCAGCAGCCGCCAGAGTGAATTTCCATTCTTCCCCCAAACGGACTCTGTGCAGTTGCCAGCTGAATGCTGAGCTCTCCACATTTGAAGCCAAGGGAAAGTGGAATTCGAAGAGACCGGTTGTGCTAAATCACACTAAAAATAACAGATTCCATAGGTTTCACAAAAGTTACAGCCAATTTTCTGAAGTACAGAGTGATCACCCATTGCATGATGAGTTACAAATGTGCAAATAATTACCGTTACTAAAAGCCACGCACTAGCAGTGCTTGTCAGTAAACGCTGTCGAGGGCTGTGATATGAGGACAGTGCTAATTGCAAGCACTGGAAGATGCTACCCATACGTCATGCTCTCAGGCCGGTTCTCAATCTCCCAAACAGGCAGCTCTCTCCTTTTTTTGTTCCCACCGCCTCAGGAGGGACATAGCAGGGGGGAAAGGGACATAGGGCTTTTTCTGGGTTGAAATTTCAGATCAAATGTTAGGACTGAGAGCACCAATAGGCAAGTGCCTGGCTTTTCACAGCACATCGCGAGCTCAGTGATCATTGTGGGCCACATCTATCCAGTGTCACATGTGGTTCTGGGTTGTACTTAGCCACAGAAGAGCAACCCAGGGGGCCCGAGGACAGCTCTCCGCTGGGTGCTGCCTTGGCTGACTAGGGAGGTCGCATTCTGTCCGGTCTGCTGGGTGAAGAGACTTCCTTCTTCAGCTGACGTTTTCCATGGCAGAAGGAGTAAACAACCCTCTCCCAGCCACCTTGAGCTCACAGCTGAGAGTGTAGGATGTTTACACACACTACGGCATGGTCATAGCCTGAGGGTCCAGGGTTGGTCGGCCCCTGACCATTGTCACAGAGATCGGCATCTGCTCCAGAGGGCCCTGAAACACATGGTGCCCCTGCCTGGGACAACAAAAACAACAGAAACATACAACAACTTGGGCTGGCTGAGCAAAAACTTAGCCTAAATTTACTCACTCCCTTGTTCTGGGCCAAGTGTGCCAAGTTCAAGAAAAGAGAAAAAGACACTCCTTCAAGGTATAAGAGGACTGCCTCAAATCTCCTCAAAGTGACATTTACAAAGTTGGTATTGACCCCACCCCCTCATTAAGTGAGGTGCTCTAATCTGTGCTTTTAGTCCTTTCCTCTTTGTGCTTTTTCTTCCTTGTCAAATTCACTGCTTTCCCCTAAGGGCAAAGCCTAGCTCTCTCTTGTTCCCCACTGTCCCTACTATTCATTCCCCTGTAGGCAGCCACTAAACACCTGCTGAATGAGAATGGATTTATAGAGCCAGGCAGACAGTTAAGGGACAGGAAAGTACAGACATACCACGTTTTATTGCACTTTGCTTTATTGTGTTTCCCAAGTGTTGACTTTTCTTTTTTACAAACTGAAGGCAAGACCCTCTAGCAGCAAAAGGATTACAACTCACTTAATTGAGATACTTGCTTTATTACAGTGGTGTGTAAACAAACCAAACCTGCAGTATCTCCCAGGATGCCTGTACTCGCTTTACTGTGGTGGTCTGGAACTGCCCCCACAATATCTCCGAGGTATGTCTGTATTTTTTAACTCAAGTTGGTAGTAGGACAAATTCTACTGAATACATCAGCTGTTGCCAACAGAAGAGTCCCTAAACTCTCTTTGCTACCTCTAGGGTTTTGTGGTCTAGTGCGGGGAGAAGCCCATGTGCCCTGTAGAACAGGGCTGGGTATTATTTTGCTTGCCTGGTAACTGGGGGGCCCAGGACACTAAAACTAGGACTGCTAATATATAGCTTAGGAGAAACTTGGGTCTCTGCATGACAAGGTTTCCTGATGGCGATCCACCCAACTTAGGCAGACATGTGTAACATGCTGGGTTTCTGAGCTAGTCTTCAAACATGAACCAACTTTTTAGGTTAATTTATTCTGTGCTTCAGACTCAAACAGTTTGAACCCTGAATGTGATCATGCTGAAGCAGAAGAAAGGAGATTGGTCCCCTTTTATTTTCATCTAGGTCTGTTTCCAGAACTTAACTGTGACAATGTCACGGTCCACTTCAACTCCAACTTCTCACGATTACAAATAAAGGTCAGTCTTGTCAACTAGATCTTGGCTGTGGCAGGGGTAAAATACTGATACCTTCCTTAGCCATGAAACTGCTCTTTTTCAAAGCTCTTGAAATGAGTTCAATGTATTTATTTTCCACTGAGATCTCCCTTCCCACTTTATAAAAAACATCAATCACTAAAGTCCAGACCTAATTTGAAAAGCTATTGGGTGATAAGAAGGTATAGAGGACTGAGACACCCCCCCGAGTGAATTTGTAGGAAGTCGGGGTAGGGAGACACTAGCATTTCCTAGCTTTGATCTGTGATTGTTCTGTATCCAGTTATTCCTGACGGCAGCTGATCTGTAAGTGAATGTTTTTTTTGTCAGACAAAAAGCAAACCCTTTAAATACCCCTTTCAGAAGCCAAAATACCCCTTGCCAAGTTATGAGAGCAGGTGAAGAGCTTCTCCCATGCTGCCTACTATAGCTTCCTAACTTGTTTATGAAGCAGGCAGTCTAGGACACTCCATCAAGTCAGTTTGTGCTGTGAGAAGGGCATGATTGTTCTCAATCCACTGGAATGGAAGGAGGCATATCGAAGGTTCTTCAGCATTATGAAGATTCATTCGGCCAATGGAGGTCAAGCTAGCAAGGGAATGGTTATGCTTGGTTTAAAGAGATGGGTGAAAAGAAATGATATTTCAATGGGCAGGAACTTTCAACTCATAGCTTTAGTGGGGTAGAAGCCAGGCCTCAACTACCTTCTGCTTTCAAATAGTTTTTATTTGCTCCTCCAAAGAACAAGAGAAATTCCCAAGCATCTCTGAGAAGTCAAGGGCCTTACATCCCCAACTCAATATTTGTGGCTAGTTCCTTTCCTCAGCAGTGGAACATCACCCCAGGCGCTAGAACACCTGGGATGACTGGATCAATCCAGACTGGGGTACTTGCCCAGCTTTAGCTGTGGCCTCCCCTCTCCAACCAGAGGGTTTGCTCTTGGAATGTGTTCAGAAGTGGAGACTGACAAAGCAAACCAGAGAATGAGCAGCATCACCTCCTAGGGCCATCACTACAGTGTTGTGCGCCAGCCACAGACTGGAAAAAAAGTACATTCGCTTCAGCAGCAAAAGTGAACTGCTGCCTTTTCAGAAAGGGTGAATTCTGGAGAGTAGGTGCTTTTATAGGACTTAAGGTGCCAGCCAATTTAGAGCTTGGGAAAACTTCATGTCTACAGAGGATTAGAAGTGCTACCTGAGAATTTCAGGCCAGCTTTCAGCAATCTCAACCTTTTAAAGGCCAGGCAGCAGCTGTCCCAAACAGGATGCCAATCAATGGCTTGAACACCTACAAAGAACTGAGTCCAGACAGCACGGAGCTGTTTCAGCTAGACACACTTTACAAAGAGATGGGTCACAGCATTTTGAGTCAGGGTAGGACGGAACGAGCTGTCTGACACCGACAGAGCCAAGTACTGAGGACTTTGGAGGAAGGGAGGGGACAAGACATGACCCTTCTCTCCAGCCAGTTGGTTCAGCAGGAACCCACAGAGAACAAGCAGGAGTCAGCACAAGGAATATGAGCAAGACCTGATTTTGTCACAGGTCTCATCTTGTTTTTAAAGGAGCTTCTGAAACAAATTCCAATAAGGAGAGCGTGTGTGTCATATCATTTGTTTTGAAGAAGAGAAGTGGTCTGAGTTCTTGCTGTAGTGACTTCTCAGAGAGGAGGGAAGCACCCCAAGAGGAGGAATTGAGCCCATGGGCACTAACCTGCAATGTCTCAAAGGCGATGCGCAGCCGGGGACGACCGTGGCAGCCTGCCGCTGTAAACATCCGACTGAAAGCTCCTCTGAACACCTTACAGCTTCCAGTCAAGGATGTTTACAGTAGCAAAGACTGCCCAGAAAGAACGGAGACGCAGTGAGGCTCCCTGCTCTAGTAAGGGGGTGACAAAGGGCTTGCTAATCCAAGGGCCCCCAGGCAGGGTCATGATTACAAATGTCCTTTAAGACGCCCATTTCTCCTACCTTCTAACTGGTTATTAATATGAGACAGCATGGGAGTCACTGAATGACCTTGTTTCTAAGGATAATATACTATGAAATAATTCATTAAAACCACCTAAAATTTTATTAAGAAAACAGAGCAAGCAGAACAAGGCACAGCTTTCTTCCTGCCAGACTCCTCCACTATTTCCCAAGTGTCTCCACTAGACCTGGTGAGTCACGCAAACGGTGTGCCTGCAACAAGGAGTTATACAGGATAGGGGTCTATTACAGCCTCAATTAAGAGGCTTATGCACCCAAGGTGCTGAAGAAAATAATTGGTGTGACCTTTGGAGAGGGGCAGGTAGAAGAGAGGGGAAGGCAGGCAGACAGACATTCATTCTTTCTCATGATTGCTTAAGAAAACGGTTTAAGTGGTGGTTCTCAAATTTGGTTGCACACTACAAGCATCTGGGGAACTTTAAAAAGTACTGATACCTGGGCCTCCCCCTCTCAGATTCTGATTCAGCTGGTATGGGGTAGAACCTGGGCACTGGTATTTTTTAAAACCCTAGCAGGTGATTCAAATGTGTCACCAGAGCACTATATAGAGAACCACAATCAAGAGTAAGAGAAAACCAAAGCCCACTCACAACAAACACCACTGTGAACATAGAGAGGCTGTTTCTTGAAAATCTAAAATCTCTAACTCCCTGGGCATGTTCTCCCACCCCAGATTAAGAACTCAGAGTTCCTAGGGTACCTTGAAATGAGCTTCACTCTTACTGTTTATAACCAAAGTCTTTAATTTTAACTTTGTCTATTTTCACTGAAATACCACCTCAGAGGCACTGAGTTAAAAGTATCCATAAATGAGTAGCAGAGGGGGATGTTAAGGATGGATCTAGTCTACAGAAGAAGCAAAAGAAATAGCAAATGACTCGTGCTGAGAGAGGAAAAGGAGCATATCTGACACCCGTACACAAGGTGCTCCTCAGGCAGCAGCAATACCTTCCCAGCTCACCTGACGCTTTGGAGGTTTCAGTTCATCTCTTGGAACAATATCGATGAGAAAGTCAAACTGATCAAATTTTGTAATTGCCATGGCGATATCATTCCTCTGTAACAAAGAAAAGCAAGGTGAAAAATTAGCCTGGGGAGAAACTAGTTCACCTGGCTTTATACCCTCCAGGTTACAAGTAAGAGAAGACGATGACTTCTAAGCCAAACTAAGTACCCACAGCCAAGTCTATAGCTGAAATAAGCACAGGCAAACTCTCTTAAACTTCAAATTATCGGACTTGCTGGAAAGACATCTACAAAATAGACAAAAAAGAGCTACTGGTAGCTCCTGCTCCGCAAACCAGATATTTGAGCCTCCAGCTACTACTGCCTCTGCTGGATTCTGCCCCAAGATCCTCCCCACAGTTGATAAATGATAATCCTCCAGCTAAAATTGTACAAATCTAGCAATCTCAAGCAGCAGGTTTCTGGTCATTATGTGTTTAACAAGGTTAGGCTATCATTCAATTTTATAACCTTTGTAAGGAGCTAAATAATATTTTGCTCCTTTGGTTCATAAGTAAAGTCTATTTGGAATTTCCTGGGTGAAATCCTAACTCAATAACTTTCTGCAATATTTTCTAGTTACTGATCTATATCTTAGTTTCCACGAAACTGTAATTTTTATTTTGGAATTCAAAATTGCAATGTTGAACCCATGGTTTAAATCTTGTTTAATGTGATATAAATATTGGAAGTCTGAAGTTACTAAGAGTACAGGTTCAGGTGGGCAGAGAATATAGGAGTCAGTTGACTAAGGATACTGAAACCAAGGCCTGTGCTGAAGGGGTTCTTTCTAAGGATGACACTCCCTTTTTTTAAATAATAGAACTAAAGGATTTTTGTTTTGTTTTTTTAAACTAAAAACCAACATACTAACACTGTCTGAACATTTTAAAGAAAAGGGTAAAAGAGTGACCTCTAATGAATAATATGCATGTTGAAGTATTTAGGGAAAAGTAAACTTTGAAATTCATTTAAAAATAGATGATTTGATGGATAGATAGATAGATCTGGGGATAAAACAAGTAAAATTTTAATGGTAGGACCTAGGTGGTGAGTATACAGGTGTTCACTATAAACTTTATGTGTGAATTTTTTCATAATAAAATGTTGGGGGAGGAGGGGAACTGACCTACTAACAGAAATCTTTAGTGACTTCTACATATCACATCTTAAGAGAAGGTGACTCATCAGACAAAACAGAAGGAGATGGAAATTTTCTGTTTTTTTCCTTCCCTTGTCTCTGTGATGGCCCCAAGCCACTGAAATGCAAAACTCCAGTCCACCATTCTTGCCAACCACCAGCTTGATAATAAACCCATCCTACTGAAGCAGGGCACATCTTAAAGCTGCCAGGACTCATTTAAGATTAGTACGATATAGTATCACATTCTTGATGATGTCACCTACTCAAAGTTATCTAAACAGCCCATCTAAGGATGGAATGAGGAGAGAAAAAGAGAAAGAAATAATAATCACTTTGAAACCTACACCAGCATGTTCTATAGTATTTTGGAAACATAGATATACTTAAATTGGTATTTTTAATATTTTAATTTTGTCTTTTTAAGTGCTAATATTTTACTGATTACTCCTATTCAGTAAAATACAAAAATCTTAAGTACACAGCTGGATGAGTTTTAATAAATATATACACCCAGGCAGCTATCACCTAGATAAGAATATAAAAAGTTTCCTTCCATCCCTTTCCAGGCATTATCCTCCACCCCCCTCAATCTGAGATAACCACAACTCTTATTTCTGTCACTATGGACAGTACATGGTATCCATGTACTACGTAATTTTTTTCCTGGTTTCTTTTGCTTAACATAGTATTTTTGAGATTCATCCATGCTGTTGTATAGATCAATAGTTTGTTTCTTTTATTGTTGAAAAGTAATTCATTTTAGGAATATATCAATTTTTTTATATATTCCTATCTTGATTTTAGTCATTCTAGTGGGTATGAACTAGTACCGCATTGTGGTTTTACTTTTTTATTTCCCAGATGACAAACGATGTTATGTACCTTTTCATATGCTTACTGGTCATTTGGAAACCTTTTTTTTGGAAGGGCCCATTCAAGTGTTTTGCTGATTTTATTTTTTAATCTTAATTGTTCTTGAAGGTAACTTTAATTGGCTCTCTAGATCTACAGACTTCCTTCAAGGCAGCCACAAAGTAAGTTCTCAATGTCTAGCTGCACTAGAATGTAGGCTTCCTGGGGCTGGGGATTTTTTTGTCTGTCATGTATATTAATCCCCAGAGCCTAGAACAGTGCTCGGCACATTGTAGGTGCTTATAAAATATCTGCAGAATAAATAAATATATGCATTTTCAACTTTGGAGGGGAAACAAGAGGAGAAAACATAATTTACTTTCTTCGCTTTGTTTTAAAATACTATCGCTCTCTTATATCTGTCACACCCTTGCTTTTATGTCTGAGAAACGTCTGAGAAACATTTTCTCCAAGAGCTAGGGCCTGGCTGTTGAGGGGAGAGCCTCTAGAGCCAATGATCAAGGGATCTTTATACAGTATGAATGTTGGTGTCCTGGATTAAAATAAAAAGAGAACAAAAAAGAAGAGAAAAAGAATTCCCAGGAAAGCAGATGAGGAACAAAAAGGCAATGGGGTCAGTAAAACTGATTCTTCCTGGGATTGTCCTTTCCTGAGTCTCTCAAGCCTTCCAATCAGAAGCTGTTTACATCTGGAAACAGAGAAATATCACTTTAGCCTCTGTTTATAGTGACGGCTCACCAAGTGAATAGTTCAATCACTGAGCTGTGAAAACCATGTGCAAGTTGGAAATTAAAATCCATGGTGGGGAAATACTATCATGGCTATGAGGTATGCCTGTCGCCCAACAGTAGAGAAAGACACCAATTGCACATCAGTTTGACAGAGGCCTAAGAAAAAAACAAGCATTAGTCTAAAGGCATGCAAGAGAAGCAGGCAAATGCAGCTTCCTGCCCAGTTTTCCCAATGTGAGTCTACAATATTACCTGTAGAGTCCGGCGCTTGTTGTCCTCTGTGTGGATCCAGGCTCGAAGGGTCAACTCTGTGATAAAAATCTGGGCTGCCTTGGCAAAGAGCACAGGGGCTTCTGCACTGATCATCTGCAACAGATGTAGGCCCTGTCAATCACCAGCAAGTCATTCAAACTAGTTAGTTTGTCCCTTACCTCATGTCCTGTCACCAGACTATGGGGCAAGGGCTGGAAAATGAGAAGGTGGTAGCCTCAAGAGATTCCAAGGTAAAATAAACCCACAAGTAGGGACAAAGCAGGTAGAAGGGAAGAGGGAGAAAGAATACTTATCTAGAACCTACCATAATAGCCTTTTAGAGAAACTAGGGTTTAGGAGAGGTGAAATAACTTGCCCAGGTCCATAAAGCCAGTAAGTGATATAATCCAAGGAGACACAATGCGGGGAAAATAATGAGTTTGAGGGCCAATAGATTTAAGCAAAATCTCAGGCTTCCCATCATTTGGGGTTTTATTTTTCACATATTGAAAGAGGATAACCTTCCAGGGCTGTTGTGGGAATCAAATGAGAAAATACATGTAAAAGCACACATCACAGGGCCTAGAAGATAGTAAGTGCTCCAGCAATGTAAGCTCTTGGTCAAACAAGGCTCTGAAACCTTGGTAAGGTGGTCTGTACAGGATAGAGTCATTGGAAGAGCTCTGGAGTTAAGGAAGCAAGAGATGAGTATTGGGATCTTGGTTCTCCTACTCTGGGTGAGTCACTTTTAACCTTTTTGTCTATTTCCATATCTATAAAATGAAACTCATAATTCTTATCCTATCAAATCTCAAAGGGTTACTATGAGGAGGAACTGAGCTAAAAGAGGGGAAAATTGCTGTGAACTTATAGTTCTCTATACAAATACAAGAGACTATTAATTTTGAGTGATAAGGAGAGAGTGCTCTTTTTCTGAAAGAGTTGTAGTGGGTGGTAGACTCCTAGGAATACAGTATCAACAACCTCCAAGTAAAACCTCTCCCAAATATTATTCATGTGAAACAACTCACAGATGCAGTATCATCAAACATTTCTTAGAGCTCAGATAAACAAATTAGAGACTGTAACAAGATGCTAAGAAGATGTCACTGTCCTGCTGATTTGATGCTACATATTTACACTACATGCCAAAAATAACTGGGTGATTCCAAAAGCACTCAGCATCTTTTCAACATCTAGAAAACAGGATATCCCTAATTTTCAGAAAAGCACCATATAATAATTAAAACTGTTCAATTTCAGTTCACTTAACAATTTTACGAGGAACCAAATAAAAAAGCAGCAGACAATAACAATACTTTCACTTTTGTTTAAACTTTGAGCTCTAAAGAAACGAACAATAACCTACCATCATTTTAGCTTCAATATAAATAAAAATGAATGTGAATTCACCTTCACATCTTCATCCAGTTTCATAATCTTCTTAATACGAGCCAGTGGGAGTTCCTGTACTCGGAAATCTTTCTGAAATGAGTAACAAAAGGTGCATAAATGGTGGGGATAATCAATAGGGCAAGGCAGGCATCAAGAAGCACACTGATTGGCTTAGTCCCTACTTTCAGAAAATATGGCAGGAAAGGAGGTACATACAGATGAAATAAAGAAAATACAAGCTCCAAAGCAAAATTCTTAACCCATGCAGAGCTTTAAACAATTAAAGGGTTTCAGAATAAACTTATGATGGCTTCTAATGGTGCCCTCACGAAAAGTAGCCCCTAACAATCCCAGATTCTTGGCCAGCACAATATAGAGGTGCACTGAGTGTCTTTTTCTTCCCAAGAAAGTTTACCAGTATGCAATATGCAGATTAAAATGAGATTTTTGCCTCAGGAGAATTCACTCCTCTAACTTGCCAGGTCTTTCTTCTATTCGGGGATTACAAGGGCAAGTGCCAGCAGCACCTGACCACAGTGACCCACAGTTCTCTTCAGCCAGTGTGATACTGGCTATTTCTGACCTTTGCACTAACCTGACACCAGAAATTGGGGAGGAGCTCCTTTCCCATCACAGCAGCAAATAGCTTGTTTCCAAAATTGGTTTGGGGTGGGGGTGGGGTAGAACAGTAAGGAAGAAGGGTGAGGGTAAATTTATCAGCTGGCTTTTTGGAATAGCCCTGGCACTTCTTTTCTTAACAAACAAGACTGGGCTGGGAGGAAACCACATCAAGTTTACTGTGGATAGAATTTAGGAAAGGGCTTTCTGACCAGCACTACTCAGTTATTTGCAATTAAGCCCTTTTTTGTTTTGATACTATTGTTATTTCAAAGCATACCCAATGAATTTCAAAGCAATTCTAGAAATAAAAATCAATTCTGGGTTTCAGAGAACAATGAAGAGAAAGGTACAAAGGCAGAGATTAGCTAAAATCAGCAAAATCTCTGCTGGGACTAGGTGTCAAATGATTGATTCTATAAGTGGTCTGAAATGTGACTCACACCAAATCCAATATGCTCACCTGGGAATCTGCATCATCACATTATGGAAAGAGCAGCTATTATTTGAGATTTGGTATAATTAACAAAAACTATGTCAAAGAAGGGGATATTTTGGAAAAATGCAAACAGCCTTCCCAGAACCCATTCTATAATTAGAGAAGGAAGAACAACTATGAGGATAAAATGCACACCAAGACACCCAACTCCCCACGCAAACCCAACAAGCTGCTTGGCTACTGGCTACCACTCACCTCTACAAGCTTCCAACACCAATTTTTCATCTTTTCCTTTTCCAAATTAGGTGTCAACGTTTCCCGTGAAGCCTCTACTAAAACTAACCCTGGAGTGGCAGACGTTTAAAAGTCTAGTTTATTAAAATTTAACCAAAAAGGAGAGAGCAGGACACATTCTATTCTTTTTTTCTCCTCTTTCATTTACTCATTCATGCAACTCAACTAATATGATACCTACTACTATGTGAAAGACGCAAGTCTATTCTTACCTTTGAACAGCTTATAGTTTAATTGTTAAGAGACAGTCACATAAAAACATTATAATCCCCTATTCTATACTAGAATGGGGGAGTAAAATCCCACAGAAACAAAGAATAACCAGCTGGCAATGGGGGGTTGGAGTGAGCAAGAGGAGTTGGCAAATGTTCCAAAGCGGCTGACATCTGAATTGTATATAAAGGATGCTACAAATTTGCTTGTTGAAAAAGTATGAGGAAATCATATTCAGACAGAGGGAACAGCATGTGCAGAAGCATAGACACACAGAAAACATGGCCTATTTAAATTTTAGCCATACGACCTTAGTACAGAGGGAAGCAACACAAAAGAGAATGCTGGATGAGGCCAGCCACCAAAAGGGATTTAAAAAGGAAAACATTTACCATAGAAATCAATCACTGGTCTTCCTTCTTGTGTGGCATATCACAGAAAATGATGATGCTAAACAGAAATGCTAAAGAAAACGCTGGGGATGATAATTGCCTTTGGACGACCTCCCAGGATGATACACACAGCTTAAGATTATGACCATAAGATTTAGCTCTTGAAAGTGTGCTGTCATTTGACTTGGTTAGTAAATATAATTTCCACAAGATTGTTCCAAGATTACTTAATCAAAGCCCAAAACTGATAAAAAAGACTCCTTCCCCAACTTGAAAGAGTAAAATGTCACTCAGAATTTCTATGAGACTAGTCTTTAATCAATGCAACAAGAAAGGGTGAAGGAAAAAGAGATTATTCTAGCCTGGCCGGGCGTGGCTCAGCGGTTGAGCATCAACTTCGGATCCAGGAGATCAAGGTTCAATTCCCAGTCAGAGTACATTCCTGGGTTGCCCGCTCAATCCCCAGTAGGGGGCATGCAGGAGGCAGCCAATCAATGACTCTCATCATTGATGTTTCTCTCTCTCTCCCTCCCTCCCTCTCCCTTCCTCTCTCTGAAATATGTATTTAAAAAAAAAAAGATTATTGTATCATTCCCTCCTTGGAGAGGTAGAAAATGAGACAGAAAAGAGCTCAGCTCTAAACCCCACCCCAACCCTTTCTTTGGTGAGAAACTTTCTCTCAATCCCCAAACC